GCCTTGAATGCTTTCTTCTTCTTTGGCAGCTTCTTCTTTTTAAGTTTATTTTTATTTTTTATTCTTGTTTTATGAACTTTTTAAATTTGCTTGTGAGGAGTTCAAAGTCATCATCACTTAGCTTTCGCTCGAGTGGTCTTCTTTCGTTCTAAGTGTCAAATTCTTTTGTTCTAATTTAAAATCATCAAACAAATCATTAAAGGCATTAAATAATTCATCATAAGATAAAGAAGATTTATCTGAGTTGTTTACTTCATTGTCAAGAGCCATCAAAACGAAGTTCGCCACTTCATCTTCATCGGTTTGCTCCTCGTTTTCAGATACACTCGAATCGTCCCAAGTTGTTTTGAGTGTTTTCTTTTTCTTTTTAAGTTTATTTTTATTTTTTTTTATTCTTATTTTATGAACTTTTTAAATTTGCTTGTGAGGAGTTCAAAGTCATTATCACTTGAGCTTTCGCTCAAATAGTCTTTTTTTGTTCTAAGTGTCAAATCCTTCCTATTCTTTGGAAAGTTATTCTCATGTTCATCAAGTTCATCATGTACCTTGTATTTTATTTCATATGTTATCAAAGACCCAATAAGTTCTTCAAGTGAAAAGTTATTTAGGTCCTTTGCCTATTGTATTGTAATTACTTTCGAATCTCAATTTTTAGAAAGTGAATACAAAACTTTATTAACAAGTTTAAGATTCAAAAAATATTTGTCAAGGGCTTTTAAACTATTGACAACATCATAAAATAGGTATACATGTCAATAATGGTTTCACTTGGCTACATTTAAAATAGTTCAAGATCATGTATCAAAAGATTAATTTTAAAATCTTTAACTCTATGAGGCGGGGTGAATTAGTGCTTACGTAAAAATTTATTGGTTTAAAAATTATTGTTCGATGAAAACCGATATAAAAAATATGTTAACTTGAAAACACGTTCGTAAGCATAGTGAAAGTAAGGATCAGTTTGCAATGAAAATAAAAAGCTTAAAGTAAATGCAAATCATATTTATAGTGGTTCAATCGTCGTGGCCTACAACCACTCTCGATTCACCTTCACTTGAGGCTATCGGCTTTCACTACCGATCTCTTTAAGGGATCGGCCTCCTTGGAACTCTATAGGGGTTCCTTCCTTCAAATTGTTGCTCAAAGGCTGCTAAAAAGATTCACCTATTGCTTGTCAAAAGAGGATGAATACATGACTATTTATAAGGCTTCTAAACCCTAATACCTAATAGGACTCCTACTCAAGACTCCAACTTTTAACCAACTCCTAATAAGACTCCTACTCTAAGAAGCAATATCTCAATTAACCCTAACCCTAGCGGACCTTTTCACCTTTTTAATAGGGGTCGGCTAGGTAGGTTTTACATGAATGCCTCTTTCAATAAAATTCAATTATGACTCTCCTAACTAGAGTCCTAACATGATCTTCTATCAATACTCAATTGTCCTCGTAATGTTGGCTATCACTCCCAATGACCAGTTATATTATTTTGAAACTTTCATATATACAAGTCTGGTATCAAAGAGTGGAGTACTCATATAAGATATTCTCGGTTTCTCAAGCCTAAGGACTAAACACATAATTGAGAGTATGGAATCACTATTTAACAATGAGGTATCATTAACCATCTAGCATTCCATGAGTAGATAAATCAGTAAACTCATTCTTTAATAAGCACTTACACTGTACCTCTAGTGTGCCTACACGAGTGATTATGAGACCAGCTGCTTTTATCATATAGACATGTATACAACACCAGTCTCTCCGGCTATCTCGATGTCCCTCTCAAGTAACCTATGATTGAGAATATTTATGGTTTATATTTATAGGCGAATTGGTCTCATTATCATGATCTCATCCTAATCCAATTCTCATTGCACAGATCAAAGAACATCACAATATATATAACAAGTAATCATAAAGTGAGAAAATACTAATAATAATAATAAGCAAAAAAATTATGCATCGTGCCACATGTGTCATCACTCATATGATTGGCTTGTAGGATACTTATGATTAGCAAACTGAGTAATGAAGTTGGACACTCTTCCTCCCCTTATTTGAGTTGGAGTAACATTATCGCCAACGGCTTCAAGCGTATATTCTCAAAGAAGTAGAGTTCAAACTTGTTTGCAAGCTGAGCAAATGAGCCAACCAAGAGTGGCTTCAAATAGGTGTACCACTCTCGCGTCGAGCCTTTTAGTGTTACCGAGAATGTGTAGCACATCAAAGCATCTGAGGTGTTATAAAGGAACATTTGAGCATGAAAGGCGATAATTTATTCACATGGGTTTGTACTACGATCGAAGACTTCCAGCGATTGAAGGCAAAAGTTAGTCGAAGTTGGTTCCTCTTAAATGTTTTGGGTGAATGGGGATCGATCGAGTTTTTGCCTCTGAACTGCTAGAACTCTCACTGCTTCTTTTCCAAGCATTGGTCCAATTGCATAGTTGGACCCTTCGGGAGTTATCCATTGAATTCATCGATTGAGTCTTAGATTCAAGCAAGGCAAAAGGGTGGTGCGATGCACTGAATGCTATAATTGGAGAGCATAGTGCTCCTTCGACTTGTAGTTTTGTGGACGTCGGGCAAACCTGAGGTGCTGGCATCGTGTCAGTTAGAGGGGTTCTAATGGGTGCTAGTGCTATTGGTGGTTGAGGTGTCGACCGTAGCTCAAATGGTGGTATTGCTTGTTGGGGTTGCCGAGGCAAGAGTGACATGATAGGTTTCATCATTCTTTTGAGTCCTTACACCATATGCGTGAGGCTTTGAAACACATCGACGGGGACTAATAGGTGGCTTGAACTCATCCCCAAGGGTGAGAAGTTACGGCCATTAAGCAGGTGCTGATATTTCATTGGCATTTGTATCAAAGTGGACACATCCACTTGTGGGAAAGAGGACAGTTGTCCCCCCTTGAGTAAATGTACTATAGGTTGGAGGCAAGGCCTTTTGCCGGAAGTGTTAGTTGAGAAGATTTGTGGGTGGACGTTCCTACAACATCATGCCCTCCTTCTAGTGCCAATATTATGGGAAAATATCATCGACATCTTAATCAACCCAACGTGGTCCAAACTCGAAGGCGTAGTAGCGTCCAAAGTGGTTCTTGAGTGACTCCGAGGTGTTGCCTACAAGAAGATCGAGGTCGAGGGAGGTTTCCCAACCCATTCCTCCGACGCTCAAGTTAGTGATTTGATGTCCCTAAAAGTAGGCTTGAATCGTTTAAAAAAAGAAGACCACCTCACTTTATTCGGAATATGTTTTTAGACCTTAAAAGATGAGAAGAAAGCTTGGGATTTCCTTCTTAGCCATAAAGCAGAAGGATGTTTATAATTGTCTTCCTCGTCGTAATAAATGGGAAAGTAACTTGTCTTTCTGTATTTTAGACTTACGTCCACATACATAATTAGGAGAGGGTGATTTGGATCTAACGTGCCAACCATGTGTAATTTGATATCAGATTCCCTATTAGGATCCTTTATAACTACTTGTGAAGAATAATAAAACGATCCTTTTAGTAACTTTATCAAAGAAAACACATCTTTTAAGTTCCCGATAACGTGTTTCCTTCTATATTGTCAATGTAGCTTCATTTAATTTAAAAACAAGTCCCAAAGCATGGTCAAATTATATATTATTCTCTTGTACATTGGTCTGTTTAGCATCGTGATTCTGTAAAATATTATATTAAAATTCTCATAATCAATAAATTATTATATTTGATTTTATTTTTTTTTTATAATATTATCTATTTATTTGACGAAATTCGTTGTACGTGAGATCATATATCGAGTTGGTGCCAAACTGAAGGGTAAAACAATTATTTGGCATTCTTACAAAACCTCTTTGCTACTATTGATCCAAGATGTTGTTGCCCCCCTCCACGATGCCCACTATCGCACCTGCGTCATCTACCCAGCCTTCCTCTACACCTCGGCCTTCCTTCCCCACCCCCAACCCAACCCATCCTCTCCTTCAAGTCGTCCTTCACACCCACCACTCCCACAAAGGGGAGGATGTCCTTTGCTACCTTTGTCTTCTCCGATGCTGATGATGATGGTGGAGGAGGGAGCGGCAAGACAAAGTGGTGGTCATTTCAAACTTGAGGTAACCATAACCTCCTACTGCGCGACAGCGTGCGACGTGGAGGGAGTAAGCAACCAACATCTTGATCAGAAACGGTGGCTCAATTGTAACAATATCTTAGTGCATGAAATAACCATTTTACCCTTCAGTTTGATGGTAACCAATATAACAAACATATGCTGTCATATGCAAGGATTCCGTCAAATAAATAAATATCGTTATTAAAAATAAAGTTAAATTGAATATATAATTTGTTAACTGTAGGGACCAAAGATAACTTTTTACAGTAATGCTAAACAAGTATAAATACAGGAGAAAATATATAATTAATCTAAAAGCATGAAAATACTCGTGTGACAAATGTCCAAATATATCAACCCAAAACTTGATATTTTTAAAGAAACTATTATTTACAACTTTTTTCTATTATTTGTAATTTTATTTTATTTTTTTTAGTATTTTTAAATTATTTATTTATAAACAAACATAAATATCTTCTTTACCTTCTTCTCGTCATCTTTTTTTTTTATCTCCTCTTAGGACGACACTAGTATAAAATAAGAGATTATAAAAAAACATAAAATAAAATCAATAATATTAAGACGATAAATAATAAAAATGATATTTTATTATTTTTAAAAAAAGTATCAATAATTAAAGAATTATTGATGAGATGGAGGAAAGTCTGAATAATAAGTTTCTGCAATTATTCTTACCAAGCGACGGCAACAACGAAACAACGTGCTACTTCCACTTACCTTGCAATTAGGCCATAGTACATAGGAACAGTTGTGCTTCTCATCGACCAGCTTTTCCGGAGCTTCCACCAAGTGCCACATCCTTCAGCTGTATGACAGAGGGTCTGGTAGAACACCGACCAGGGAATTAGTTCGTAAGGCATTACTACAATTCGTAATCTACCCGGAGGATAACGGTGATCTCCGATATAAGATAACAAACAGCATTAAGGATTACATTTGAATTATGCTCATCGTTCGTTTCCTTCCTTTTCCACTAATTTGCTAATAAGGAAGTTTAAAGAAGAAAGTTGCCCTTGGTTTCTTTATGCTCCCAATTCTGCAAATTATCATACATTTAGTTCATTTTCATGAGGCAAGGGATCAAAAACCGATTCCACTTCAGCTATGTCGACGTCCGCCAAGTTGGACGGTCTCCACTTTGGATTCTGCATGTACAGCGTCCATATTCACATAAAAAAGGGTAGTCTTAATTACCAAGAAACAGAATCACAAAAAGGAAAGCATCAAAAACATGGATAAGTTCATCAAATAAATAGCACATGATTGAGAAAAACATGATAATATTTGACTGCCAATGCATGCCTGTCAACAACAAGCGATTAAATATCAAACAAAGTTGGAGGTACTAATATGAGAATGTCCACGTGAATGCATCAAGTTTCCAAAAAGGATAGGAAAATAAATGCTCAAACTATAAATGACAAGATGTCCTAGTTAGACAAGATAGATACTATAAATTTAGGCAAAACTAAGATGATATAAACATGTTCAACAGAGTCCTGTAGGTTTTGTACTATCAAAACAAGGAGTGGGAGAACTAAAAAATTTATTAGAAACGATAAGAAAATACATTCAACTGATTTTAGTTTGCCTGATGATATTACTATACATAGAGCTTGATGGAAGGAAAAGATCTACACTACATGGTTGGAATTGTTGCATGACATTTATGACTTTCTGCAAGCAGTACAAGGTAGACTTAGACAAACATATCTTCATTACAACTAGCAAAAGAAGTTCATAAATTCTCAGGATCATGTACACCAAAATAAGTTCCACGTGATGATCATGTATGGCCATTGAATTATGACAGGATGTACCTTACTCTATGAGGATCATATGGTATAATTCCTGAACATTACTTGGAAACTATGAAGTGCCAACTATCACCATTTGGCATCTATTATGAGTTGCTGTATCATTTAGCATCTTTTTATAGCTTTACTTGATCGACTATAATTTATTTCTCCTAAAAATGAACAATGGAAGATATGTATATGCTGCAGAATAACAGTAGGCTATGAAATTTCTAACCAGTTCTACAAAGAAACCAACTAAATTGAACAAAATTTCCATAGTACCAAGAATCATGCTCCTAGTATTTTATTAAATGATAAATGTATCTCAAACTATCTGAGCTACCTGGTCTCTGTCCACCAAGACTGCCCGTACACCTTCAGCAAAATCATTCCGGATTGAAGATCTCAAAGCAATTCGAAATTCAGTCTTCATTACGCCACTTAGCTAGATTTGAAAGAACAGTTATAACTATGAAATTAACATTTGCATAAATGACCTGTAACATAGACAAATACAAAGTTTTCTCAAGGATCTTACTTTTGCTAAATGGTTATCCACACTTCCATGTGCAAGTGCCACTTGGGAGAAGTGCTTCTGAGTTACACAAAGAGAAAAGGGAGCACCTGTACCAAGGCCTGAAAGCGCATCGCTAGCCCAGCTTGCCACTGTGATTGAAAGAGAAAATAAGTAACTAGAATAGCAAATTTCTCCATTTAATCTAAATCAATCTTCTTACTGTGGGTCAATAGAACATTCTAAGAATCCAGGATGAGAATTCAATAAAGAGACAAATGAAAGTTCCAGAAAAACTTCCAAAAGCCACAACCATGAAGGTTTCTACAAATGATTCTTGCATAACTGTACAATAAAGATGATGTAGGACTGCATTAAGCTGATCGAAAATGAAGTCACCTTCAAGAACTCTTATTTGTGAGTCTTATTGTAGGCTTCGAAAGAGTCCTTAAGTTCCAGAGAATCATGTTTTGAAAATTCCCGATGTCCCTTTATTTAGTATTTTAAAGTGAGAATTCATTAGCGAACTCTCCTGATATGACTGATGATGGTTTTGAAGTTTGTAAGATATGTAACCAAAGAACTTTTCTTCTTCCTTTCTCGGAAACAAAAAAAGAATCATCTCCCCTCTCGTGTCAATGATGCGAGTCCATCATCTGTGCATGAGGTGTGATTGGTGTTAGGGTCAAAACCCTACAGATGACTCCAGATATTGCCTCTTTGTCTCTCAATTCCTTCCTCATAGTTTCTCTTTTCTTTCTTTAGATAGACAGTTGCTTCATGTATCAATTCCATGGAGATTAACCTGAGTCCTATTTTCCACAAAATCATATTCAAATAAAATGTACAGCAGCATTATTTTCTTCATTCGAAACCAATTGACTTGCTTTAACCCTAATGAAATTCGCTTCATGATTCTTCTAAATGCGTCTTATAAATACCGTACAAGAAAACGAAAACAGGGAACAGATACCAGATACAAAACAAAATTCTTGTAGGCCACCTCCCTAAATGTGACACCAAAAGAATAAAGGAGAAGAAGGAGAACTATAAGAATCAGTGGTTAAAATTTGTGGACATGTTGAGATATATGAATACTTATTGTGTACTGAATGAAAAACTAAAAACCATATGAACAAAAGATTCAGAATCTTAATTAGCTTCAGTTTTCACTTTTGATCATTTAAGGCACTTCATACATCGAAGCATAAGATCAATCAATAGACAACATGTTTGCAAATTTCCAAATGGACGGAGTATAACGAGCAGGTGGAATCCAGATGCCCAGGTGAGAGTTCAAGAGGTATAATAAACACAGTAATGCAACCAGTGTTAAGTTACTATATTGTTGCTATTAGTTCAAAATTTGGAAGTTAATAACTGAACATTACAAGAAATGTTGCAGTTGAGAAAAGCTTCAGGCTCACATATTATATTCATCTTTTTAAATTAGAGCATACCCACAGAGTCAGAACTAGCTTGGTGCCTTTTCAACTCTTCTATTGTCTCAGAGATGGATTTATTTGCAAAACAAGAAATAATCTGCGGCAAAAGCATTTTCAGTTGAGCCTCTGATTCTGGTTCCTTTTTATGACCAGCCAACAGTGCCTGGATATCTTTGTCAGGGTCATCAGAGCTGCATACAAAAACATTAAAGTTAAATTCCTAATGTCTTCTCCATCCTCTGTTGTTCTAACATAGGAAATCATAAATGAATGCCTGCTTAAAAGGAATGTTGTAGAAAAACACAACAGCAAAATAATGACAATAATAATACAGCTTCTACACCCACACACCTGAAAATATCTTTTTACTTTAGTTACATGATTTCTCTTGAAATGACATGATTCCCACAACTTGAATTTTGATGGTCAACTTTAAAAAGAAAATGAACTAGCCATTGATCTAGAATAATGTAAATCTATGATTTCATATGTTCCGAAATCCTGAGATCACCAGTTGGTAATCTCATATTTATTAAACAAGAAGTGCATGGCCTACCGCATAATCTTACTAGAACCAATCACATTATCTATCTGGCAGTGTGACATGGTCATCTGGAAGTTTTACCTCACCTTACCTCAGTTCATCTTGTCATATGACCAATTATATCTTATATCCAGAAATCAGATAATGAAGAAACACAACCATTTTCATTGGGATGCGCTCCCCTAACCTGAGTCCTAAGCTCGATCTTCTCTCATCCTCTATCTTTCTTCTTTCTTTTTTCCTTTCCTCTTTCAATTGATGAACTGAGTCACCTATCACCCACCACTTTAGCAGAGAAGAAGTGCAACTCAGTGAAGTCATCTCATCTCAGCGCATTGGAGAAAAGTTGGCCACACTACACCACGCAAAGTGCCGAAGTCTGGCTTGCCCTTGACAACACTACTGTAAACAGAGTCTAACCAACCAAACCAGCATGTCTAGTCCATAAATCACTATACATTGTCCTGATGCATTAGCCTCCAACCAATCCGAGAACACAAAGATGTTCTTAGACTGCCATCAATGATCAGAGAAAAGAGATCTCCCAGCACAAAAGATAGTGACTGGATATTTTTACTGTCTTAAAAATGGTATTATTTGAACATCTACCTGAAATTTAGCCTTTATTTTTTCTTTTAATCGCCACCAGCTTAGAACTGTTGGCACAATAATGTTGCAAGTTGAGCACAATATATACCATGCTAAATGCAGGCTAGCATGTGCTTGTGCCATGAATCTTAAATATATGTAGGACAGCAAATTTTTAAGATAATATGTACTCTCAGAGTCTCAGTAATGCCTCATCCTCACCAGCTCCATATTCAACATCCACATCCCTTGAGGGAAATTGCAAAAACTTCTTGACAGTTTATGGGTATCTTGAAAAGACCAAACATCACAGTAATATGTCAGATAGAGAAATCATATAACAGAGGTGTACTAAAGTATTTCATGTTAAATAAAGATACTGTTGGATAAATCAAGTGCAGATTAACATCTGGCAGTGATTTCTCTATGCTCCATATCAAGATACAAAATAAAACATCCGAATGTCATAAAACAAAAATAAATCCTATGCCAAAAATGTGCAGGTCAATATTTTGAAGGAAACATGGTGTATTTTAACAAATGCATGTAAAATATATTATTATATAGGACCTAAGTAAAAAATAACAATAGTGGCTTGGAGTTTATAAAATCTAAATTGAAAAGGAAAACAAAACATGCCAAAATTTGAAGTTATTTTGGTTTGTTGTGATGATAAAACAAATTTGAAAAAGTGAATTTCATGAAAAGCAATGCCTCTGAGCTTTTTTATCATCTCACATTAGTCAATAAATGTAACATGGAATAATCGCTAGTTTTTCCAATAAAACAAACTAATAAATATTAAATAACATACAAGTTAACATTTAAAAGAGCTTCCTTCAACATGGCCAAACTTCCAGATGGCACATAATGTGTTCCAAGGCCCATATATAATGCATCAGCAGGTGATGAAATTCTTTTCCCAGTCATTCCAAGATAAGCACCTGAACACAAGATAATGGATAAAGAAAGAAAACAATGCCAAAAGGCACCCTAAAAATATCAGAACATACATGAATGATTGGTTCCAGAATAGACTTTGAATTACTCTGAATAGGGATCATGCATGTAATATTCTAATAATTTATCTTAAAAGAAAACAACGTGATGGTTCATAAATCATAAGAATATTACTAATATTGATGAAAAGCAGGATCACAGACAAAAGTTCCAACATGGTAAATCTTGGAAATGTAAAGCATGCCATGTCAAGGATACAACAATTAATAGTATTATAAAGATACATTTTGTACAATTTAAACAACCAATAACCATTACATACAACTTATGAAAAACATAACAATAGACCATATCAATAATAAATTATTCATAGAAACAAGAATGGTCATGGTGATATTACAGAATAATAAGAAGATAGTTATATCCACAGAAAATCAAAAATTCAAATATATGTCTAAAGGCCTAATGTAGATTAGATAGATATCTTCAATATAGATGGCATTTGTTAACATAACTAGCTTATAGTTGTCCTAAACTCCCAATTTGTTTTGAAGTTCTATATACATACCACAAATTATCTCGCCTCAATGCACAACGTGAACATGATACAGAAGAAAATACATTTGAGCACCTGTGCATCAAGGAACATCTTCCACGGTGACAAAAAGTCCATTGTCAATGGTCTAATAACCAGCTGATGTTCTGGTTCCAAAATTTGTGCAGCCACACATCAGCCACACATGATGGCATGAAATGACTCGATCACTCTCAGCTCCAGTTCACATTAGTCTAGCCATGTTCAGAAAGATCCTTTTTTCTGAAAAAGGTTCTCCCCAGGGTGCTTACAATGAATATCTTGTGTGTTTATATTTGAGTAAATGTCAGTTACAACATTTGCACTGTTTACTAAACGGTCATTTGTTGCTTGTCTTTTACCCATTTCTGCAACTTTACTCAAAAAGGTGGTTGTTTTCTTACATCACTGTTTCTCAAACCATGGTCACCTGGAACACAAACATATATTTTCATGATTAAAAATGATATTTATCATTTTTCCTTTTTATCAGCTGAGTATTGTACAAGTAGGGTATTAACTAAAGTGGGATGTAAAGCTTTACTTCAAGCATGCCATCTTACATTTGACTGCATCCAACATTCACTACATGATCTGGATATAATTTACATATGAATCCAAATGAAACATAGAACCTACACATTTTTGACATGCAATTCTGAATTTGGCCCAGACCAGTACAAGTCCAGTACCCAAGGTTGAATTCCTTGCTTACAAAATATATGCAGGCTTTAGGAAACATACCAACCGCCCCTCTTCCTGGACCATTTGCTGCAATATAAGCAAAGCCAACATCTGGAAACAAGCCAATTCCATTTTCTGGCATGGCAAGAAGAGTCCTCTAGGATGCAAACCATCAAATGATCAAACAGAAAAAAAAAACTAAGATTCAAAAAAGATGATGTAGTTAAAATGACTATGAAGGTCAACAACTTCACAGAAGCTCTCAGTTAAGTTACCTCTGTGATAATTCGATACCGCCCATGACCAGACAACCCAATTCCAAACCCCATGGTCACACCATCCATGAAGCATATATAAGGCTTTCTATACTCAGAAATTTTACAAATCAGAGTATATTCTGCAATAAAGACCTGCAAACAATAATCTCTTAGCCTATCAATTAAGATCAATCATCGAAATTTGAAAGACCACAGTCACAAAGGAACTAAATGGAAACATTTAAATTAACCAAAATGGCATGTGATCAAAGCAAGAAACTTCACTACCATAAAGCTAACATTATACATTCGGATTATGCAGTAAAGGTTACAAAAGAATAGGACTATAAAATGCATGGATTCCCCATCCTCTTTTGAACAAAAAAAAAGCATCTAGTCTACCACGAAAGAAGTACACATCTTCATATGGACTGAGATATTGAACATGTTGAAAAATAAAATTTAAGAAACTAAGCAGGGAATCTAATAGTGTATAAAGCATCTAAAGAGACTGATCCCATAAAAAGAAAAAATCTGGTAACCCCCTCATGAGATCACTGGCTGATGTGTGTGTTGAATATGAGCTTTGAAAGATGCAGAAAACACATGGATACACATTGGAATGATCTTAGCAACTCAACTAACTTCCAGAATGTAATTAAACACTTGTCATCAATATAAGTAACATATAACCCAAGAGAAAAATGCACATGATAATAATTCAGCTAGCACAGATGACATCTCTAAAGCAGTCAATTGATAATTATTCATCAAACTAGAATCTCGAACATAGAAAATGCATTTAACAAAATCTGATACCACATTTCTAGACCTTAGGACGTGATTCAGCACAGAATTATGCAAATGACTAGACCTCAATTATTTCTGACATTTTGTACTTGGTCGTAATCTGCTTCACATCACCACCTGCATTTAGACTACTTCCATCATTATCATATATACAGTCATCAACCAGAGAAACAAGCAAGACAACATAGCTAGAAAATCATGCACCAGAAATAAAGGGGAAAATGTGCAATAGATCATTGAGAGACCTTTTGCACAATAAATGTTGTTTTGTCCTTTAAATTTCTGCTACAACACCTTTAATATCCATCTCTGCATTGGGAATGAAGTTTACCCCCAAACACACCAATGCTTCGGAGTGCAATAGCACAAAGGAAAATCAAGTATAGGAATCTAAACAATGAGGAACTTGAGCTGTGTCAACATCATGACTAAGAAAGAAGCTTACCTGCTGAAAAGGCCCGAGGTGAGCTGCTCTCCACCAAAACACATTTGATGCTGGGGTTAATTCCCCATTCATCGAGTAAAGTATGGTATTTGAAGTCCATCTCTGCATCACCATATAAAATATGAGTCACCAATGTCACTAAAGTGTGTACCAGATTAAAAGTTGCAGTGTCAACATATACAAGTATGAAGCCAAGTAATCAGTCTATCCAATACCAAACAGACTTAGCTCAAATAGTTCATAAATAATGATCAGAAAATTATGCACTTTTGGGAATGACAACCACATAAAAGTTCTCCAGCACCATGATTCTCAAATATCTTGAGTCCAAGATTCTCCTAAAATGGAAACCAATATTCCTTAATAGATTCTATAAAACAATTAAAATTAAGCAATGTTCCCAAGGTACAAAGAAAAAAAGTTGGTTTTGTCCAAACTAGAAAAAATCGGGATAAATGGAGAAGCAAATCCCTTGATTTAGATACAGAGACAACCCTGCTGCAGATACATAGATCAGCAACGAGCTAAAATTTCACATTTATGCTATAAGTGAATACCTAGCAGCTCAGCAGCAGAATGGAAGCTATTAGTGAACCAAGAGTTTCACAGAGAAGATCCTCTTAATATTACGAGTAAAACAATCAGTAAATTCTTTTTTAAGATACAATAACAATAAAATCATAAATCTCAATTATTTGGGGCCGACTCATGAATCTTTTTCGTCCTCGAAATCTATAAAAAATCATACATTAGAGTACTTCAATTTTTATTTATAGTTTATATTAAAAAAAATTAATACTTAAATCTTTATTTTAAGGTCTTTTTCAAGATATTGGTTAAAATTTAACCGATCCAGAAATGATGTAATATAGAAACGTGGAGAAGGCTTCGGTGGCCAAGGGTCACCAAAACATTTCTTGTATCCATCGGCAAAGTGTCTCGGCTATGAAAAGTCACCACACATGTGAAGATTCAACAAAAGAATATCAAGAAAGGCTGCAAACTAAGAAATATGCAAAGACAAAAAAGAAAGAAAGGAAAAGATACCGAGATTCATGGCGTTGAGGGCTTTGGGGCGATTGAGGGTGATGACGGCGACGCCATTAGGGAAGACGCTCCCCTTGACGAAATCCTCCGAGGAGTCGGCCATGGCGGCGACGCAGCGACGAGAATTTAAAGACCACAACCGAACGAAGCGGGTGAGGTTAGGGTTTCCGGAAAGTGATTTGGGCGAGCAAGGGATCGCGGAGTTATGTAGATGCGAGGAGGAGGGTTTCGGGCGGAGGTGAAGCCCGGGGAGGACGGTTCGCATTGATGCAACACGTAATGATCGGGAGCGACCCGAACACAGCAGATACGCATAAGAGAGTCGTAACATGTTTAAGAGCAAAAGGGAAAGGGGATATGAGCGATATAGAGCAGATACCCAAATCCCATGTTTTCACTTTATTTAGAGCAATTTAGCTTCAAGTTTTATATGTTTCAACCAATTCCTACTTCGAGATCTCACGATCCGCCACTACATCCTTTGGATTTGATCCCAAGCTCCTCTTTGTTTTCGCCGAAGACCTTCATGTCATGCGGCAAACGAAAAGAAGGGTGATGCTGTCTCATGCTCATCGAGCACGCAAAGACGGAGACGATACACATCCATACATGTAAGTAGGATGGTCCCAAATGTCATACAAGAATACACGCTATGGCAGGACAAAACGGAACGATTACGCTATGATAGCCCACACGCTATTATGATGGTCCTCAACTGCGGCCTTTAGAATCGGGTCCATGGGCCTCTCTCATTTGCCGACACGCTCTCTCTCTCCTACCAATACACCGCGTCGTCATCCCATGAAAACTTCGAAAGCACAAGCAATGGCTAACGACGTGGGAATATTACCACAAAATCTCGGTCCAATTCTATGTGCCTTAGTCGTTTTTATCATTAATAATTACATCGCCATATCATTTGTTTTGTTTGTTTGGTGGATAAACGGAGAGCGAGACGTTCTCCGGATCTCACTGCGCACGTACCGGCAAGAGGTTGACGACACACGAACCTGGGACTCCCACTGCGCACGCGCCATGAGGGGGGCGACGACCGTACACTCTTTCTTGAGATGCGTGCATAATGGTGTGATCCTTGCAGAGGATAGTACCGTAGGGGTGCGCGTGTCGTACGTAGGACACCATAGGATCCCGACTCGTGACTAATATTCTACTTTACCTTGTACAACTCACGTGCCGATGACGACACCCGTAAGGTTAGAACCTAATCATTGAGGACTCGAGGCTTGAATCAGACCACGATTGCATTCGATTTGAACCCAATTGCATGGCCTCTTCCTCAGCGATCGAACGTCCAAATCGGTTCCTCGCTTTCGACAGCGGCGTGGAAGTAATAAACATGAACACTTCCTTGCCTGCTACTGAGAAGTTTCAACTGCATACAAATGTCATTGGATTAGAATGGTCCCAAGACATCACGTTTAGAACGCTTGGGAATGATTGATTGAATCAGACAAATCAAATCACAATCAGATCACATGCTGACACCAACATGAGACGAACACAACCTCTCATCCACCCCAGGAATGCGTCTTTGAGAATCCTACCAAAGCCTAGGAATGCATCTGTGTCGCCTGAGATGTCTCTCACGAATCCTTTCATTCGATTCACCGCTGTCACAATCTAGCTCCGACTAGATGACAAATGACTAATGGTTTTGCCGAATGCTTAGTTGCACACTATAATACTTGAAAGTATCCGATCTAATTGTGGGGGCACGACAACGCAAGTGTCACACAAATGACAAGCAAGATAAACAAGAGTTCACATGATGCGTGTGGTACTAAAGTGTAAATAGATTGCATTCCTCGCCAGCACAACAGACTGGTGATGACCAAAGATGAGAGAGTTCTATCAGTCTCATATCAGGCAGAATCATATTCCCATCTAAATCGAAGCAAAAGAGTCGATCGCTTCGAGGATCAAGCCATTTCTCCTTTCAGGTTATTGTAATCATTAGACTGTCAGTTCTGATGAAAGGAACAAAGAACAAGCAATTTGGTGTTTCTGATACCCAGAACAGTTATGTGGAGCTGCAAACCTAATCTTTTGGCATTCATTCTTAAGTTCTTACTATGGAGATTTCACTTAAACGAAGCATGCAGATTGTCGAATCAAAGAGAAGTTCTACCGAGCATGCAGTGCAAGAATTCTAGTAGCCACCAACGCAAGAAGAAAGACACAATGCAAGAAAGAAAGATGCTTAGTCCAAGTGGTGGCTCTGCAATAATCATCAATTCACCAAGTTCATATGGGTCATGAGACGATAAATTTCGCGCTTGGGAGAGAGCAGGAAAAATGGGGGAGCCATACACTGTGGCTCACACCCTTTCTCATCAAAATCATCAGAGGAAAGAGAAAAGGTCTACCAAGACAAGGAGCGTAGGCAATTAATAGATGTTCGCCACCAACAGTACCACGGACACTGTAACGAAATCAGCAAACAAATGAATGTACATGCTGATCATCCATGGCCGCTAAAGATTCACATAGACAGCTCTTGAGAGACGGATGATCAAGCTGCTTGCCGTAGCAATCTCAGTGCTCGCGGATCAAACGTGCGCCGGGAATCTGGCAAACCTCCGCCTTACTCAGCCATGGTCATGTCCTCCAGAAATATCTCCTCGTGAAAGGACGAAGTTGACGAACCAGATGAACCAAACGTGGGCTTCTCCTCCATCTCTTCTTCCATCAAAATTTCCTGGTCACGGCAGTCGCAGCTGCAGAATGCTTTCTCACCTCTGCAACAAATCACAGAACTCTTGTCGGTTAATAAATTCTACAACACAGAATAGAAATATAGTTAGCAAGCAGATGGAGAAGACTCGAGATCATCAAAAGAGTAACCTATACATGTAGATGTCTTTCCCCTCCTCCAGCTTCTTCTTGCAAGAGAAACAGCAGCGGAGGAAGTCTCCGGAGGGGCAGGGCGGTGCATCTTCTTCGGAGGGCTTCAGCATCCAGGCCGACCGTTCCTCATCTTTTCTATGCTTCTTCCTAAGATCTCGCGACGGAAAGCTGTGGCTTTCGAGAATGCAATCTCCAAAAATGTGAGTGGTTTTAGGATTGGGACCGTGCGATATAATGCAGGTGTAATCCTCCGACTGCTCGATTTCGCTAGCGGAAAGAGAAGCGATGACTCCACAGGGTGAGCCGCCAATAGAGACAGGGAGGGACCCAGAAAGCTTGTCAAAATTGGCACTTCCTTCCGCCATGGAACTCTTGGAATCTGATGCAAAGACTTCAGATTCGGACTTGGAGTCGATTGGCGTCGAGGATGATGTGCTAACCACCACCGAACAAGATCTCAGCAATCCGACCTCTCCACATTCTGATTCAGCTCCTTTGGATCTACCAGTCTGTGGGGAAGTGCGGTAGTCCTTCGGCAAAGACTTGGGAGCTGCGCCTGTGCAGTCATCTCCCGGGCCGACAAGGTGAGGTTTGGGGCTAGAGATGTTGATCCTCATGCGTGGAGCAAACAGTATGTTGCTGCTCTCGGAGAGCCCCAAAAGCTTCCCACAAGGCTTGGTCTCGTCGTTGAGGGTATCCACCAGGCGCAGGCCTACCCGGGTGCGGTCCCAGCACCTGGGCTTCCCATCCAGGCTTGCCGATCGAGAGAAACCGAGAAAGGAATGGCCGAGGTTGGAGAACCCCTTGTAGTCCAAGGGGGACGTGGGGCTCCTGACTGCGTCGGACTCCGATAAGCCCTTGGCGCTGAACCCTACGAAGAGGCCAGGAACACTGAACAGTGTGGCGTTCCTGGCCTTCTGGATCAAGCCATTGGAGGAGAAGCAAGAATCGGAGGTGGAATCAGACAGCAGCTGCCCTTTGCAGTGATCTTTCTGGACCTTGTTCATTCCCCTCAGCATCTCTCTCCTCTCCTCTCCTCTCCCTCTAGAACACCAGGATCCCTGAACACAGATTCACAAGGAGCTTCAGCAAGGCATCCAAGCTGGTGTCCCGAAAAGATCCCACATAGCATTCGATAAAAAAGAAAAGAAAATCTCTTTTTTGTCCCATTGGAGAACCATCGATTTGGCAAACTCAAGGATGCAGATCCTGGTTTGACAGTAAAACCAGCAAAAGCAAACATATTTTTTATTTAGCACATATAAAAAACTGAGTGAATGTATCAAAAGGTTCCGGACATGGACCGGAAAACAAAAGACAACAAACAAAGACGTGAGCAGAGGAGAAAGATCAAACCACATCCCCGAACACGAGATTCACAGATTCAGACACATCCATCAATGGGCCTGCGAACGGCAGCAAACAACAGGCATAGAGACCATCATCATGTTCAACATTAACAAAGGGGAAGTCAGAATCAAAGGAAGCCCCTTGATCAGATTGTCAAGAAATACCGAAAACAAAAAAAACACAGAAAAAAATACTGATGCTTGAGATTAAGGGTCAAATACAAGATCAATGGAAAAATGGAAAACAAAGAAGAACTGCTTCTTCAACCTGTTAAAATGCACCAAACAAACCAACGGAGAAAAACTACGACGGAAAACAGAGAGATTTAGTGCTTCTCGGAGGCCACAGCCAGTGATCCCAAATGCCCGAGTCCATGTGATGCACTAAAGAAAAGTCCCGATCAGGCTGAAAATTACAGAATGAAACAGAGAGTCCACATGAAGAAGGGAGGGAAAAACCCCACCTTCGCTTCCCCCTTAGCTTCTTCCTTTACCCCTCCTCTCACGATCTCTATCTGAGAGACCTCTCAGATGGAGGGCTATGAAGAGAAGAGAACTACCCCCCAAGGTGCAATAAAAATAGGCTGCAAAGGTATGAATGATAGCTTGTACAGTACTCTCTCTCTCTCTCTCTCTTATTTCTCTGTCTGTATGCAGCAAAATCAAAGCAGTGGGGTGCGGTGTGGCTTCTGAGCTACTCCATCGCATTCATGACCACCAGGGTAGCAACATACACGTATTCATCTCTGGTTGGTTGGTACCGTCAGAACAGAAAAATATACGTATATTCCACCATTGCGAGTCGGTGACCGCTGCAGAGGGCACACTTCCGGAGCAGAGTCGCATCGTTAAAGGCATCTTCTTCCTGCGTCCTATGTGCATTTTAAATGGAAGTGCATCATCGAGTCGAAAATAGTGATCGTTCATTCAACCGTAGAAGAAGAAGAAGTTGAAGGACCAAAGAATCTACTTCGGAATGTGTTGGTATTGATGATCGATGGAGTCAAAGCCAGTCAAAACATCAAGATCAAAGATCCAACGGTGAACATCATCCCTCGTCGTTGTATTATTTATTATCATCATTGTCGCTGCTAATATTATTATTTGGCGTCGAGGAGGGGCTCGCGGGGAATCTTTCCCGTGGCTTCAGCGTGGGGAAGAAGGGTGAAAAGAAGAAAGGGGTGGGGCCTCCTCCTCTCCTCTTTTCTCTCTCCTTCCTCGAGAAGGACAGCCAGGGCAGAGGCGACGGACAAGGGTGGCCCACCCTCATCTTGCAGTTGCTGCAGCGGTGGGTCCCGTTGCGTCTGCCCGGCCCCGTCCCCATCTCCTCAGCATTATTATTTTGGTTATTATTACCACTTGACTGACTCAACCCCTAACCCCACCTTGGCCTCGAGTTGGGTTAGTGGATTTGGTTGGCGTCACACGCTCGCTCGCTCGCTCGCCCATCGAATCGAGGCGACGACAAAGCCGCTCCACTCCATCATCCTTCCAAGGCACTGTGAACACACATAAAAAGCTCGATCGAGTGAGTTTTTGAGGCTGCACCATAAGAAATACAAGAATCCATAGTGTTATTTGTTGGTTCTTTTACATGTGTTGTAGTTGAAATTTAGTATCGGCAGCTAATAATATTTGATAAAGAATATGACTTATTAGGTATCAGTCGTCCCCACGTAGCCCAGCAGCAGGATCATTATTTTTCATCTAATTTACTATCTAAAATACGTCTCATATAATTCCCGACTAAAAACAATCCTTTCGATTTCACCAGTTGCTCCCAGAAATAGACAGCTAGCTACCTTACCTACAAGTTGATTCCAACGTTTCAAAGGAGCATTGACCTCTTTTAATTCACACTCGTAATGCTGCTTTCGGAGAGGACGATTCCATTTGCTTAAGTGAAAGATGTAGCCAAAGCAAAGACCAAAGGGAAGAAAAGAGGAGAGAAGAAAAGAAATAAAGCGCCCTCCCATGGTCCTTTTTATCATGTGCAAAAAACAAAGGCATAAAAGAAAGAAAAAGGAAGGGAAAAAAATATAACACTCATAATGTACTTTCGGGATACTAAACAAAGGGTTTGAATCATTTTAGTACCTAAACAACTCGGTGTAGATAGAGAATGTTTATAGGCTCGACTCTTTTAACCATGCATCGGCTGCGTGTATCTAAACAAAAATGATAGCTTCGATAAAGATGTGTGTAAAATTTTGGATTCTACCACCCCTATCTCTCTCTCTCTCTGTTGATCTCATCGAGATGATTCTCTGAAGAGGAGCGAGTAAGGCGGTAGCGTGGATGTTATTCCTGTGACAGGCACAATCGTATGCAAGCAAGGACAGAATTGATGTGAGTTTTCATCATGCCTTCACGTACAACATGTGATCACTCCCCCATCTTTAATCGATGACCACTGCCACACCCTTTTCCTTTTCTTTTTTCTCCTTTTCTTAGCCCCTCTCTCTCTCTCTCTCTCTCTCTCTCTCTCTCTCTCTCTGTATAAATATATATGATCTGGGTCCCAGCTCCCTTTTCCAACTCGCCGAGTTATCGCGAGTTCCTCCGTCATGAAAACCGCTCGACCCTTGTACTACACCTCATCATTCACCGGCCTCACTTACCCGTTTAGTGATTGTTAGCGACGACAGAACCCCACTGTGGCTGCCTCCAGTCACAAGCCAGGCATTACACTTTTACCCCAGTCAAGGTCTAACATGTAATTTCGCCCTCCCCTTTCTCACTCTCTCTCTCTCTCTCCATATATATGCATACCTCTCATGATTTCTCCTTTTGTGTACGCTACTTTCTGTGGCTTTGCGTGACCAAAGCCTCCCACGGTTTCTCGCATCGAGAGGCCGACCGACATCGGCGCAAATCGCGAGGCTCCGGTGTCGAAGATTCCCTGCCCGTTATCGGCCCATGGAAAGGCCTGCCACTGGCCCATGGAAAGGCCTACCACTGCCTCCGTATCGAAGATTCCCTGTCAGGCTCCAGCCCCGCACGTGCCCACCTCCCTGGATATATATATATATATATATATATAGAAGTCACAATGAGATTCTGCGGATAATATGATTCCGCTCCATAATTGAAAGAAGGATGGTATTATTTCAATTGAAGCATCAGCAGTGGAAACAACAATTCCTATATATGCTTTGGAATCGCAATAATTGTGGTGGGTTGCTTCTTCTCACAAATAACGAAATATTCGAAGGGACGGCGACACGTAATAATTTTGAGTTCCTAAAGGTACAGAGACAGTGATGGGTGTACCGAGGAGACCCGCGTAGATATCTATTGGTGTTTGTTCAAGTTAATTAGATATCTTCTTTTGAGACAGCGTTCGGTTTCTTGTTCCTTTTTTTAATAGACGGTTTGGATGGCACACTGACTTAAGTATGTGAGGATTCATAGGATTGTGTTGAACGACTTACTTGATGCCGTATATGGATGATTCCAGCACCAGAAACCGGATGAGATGCTGTCGTCAACACACTCCCAGTGGTGAGTTCATCCTTCATCGATCCTCGCTCGGTTCATCTCCATAAATGCGGAACGCCCATGGTTTTGGTAGCATCAACTCCCGTAACAGGCTTGTTTCCTCATCAGAAATCTTGAGCAAGGCAAATAAATAGTACGGCCATACAGATAAAGAATAGAGCAAAAGGCTTCTATTGATAACGACAGGCTAAAGATTTCTAATTTCATTTATCTACAAGGAGATTTGATTCACGTGCAGGCCATTATTATTTACTGGAATCATCACGACCAAAACAGTGGCCCATTGTGGATGACTATTGCCTTCTATGCTCCAATTCAATCACAAAATCGATAGAGGCACGATAATTAAGTCTCAGTTGTCAACAGCGAGCTCTAAATAATACAAAATAAGTGCGCTCGCTGTATCTGTACGGTTTTGTCTATTTTGAATATATCTGTACGGTTTTGTCTAGTAAGCTCGAAAAATCGATAAATTTATAAGTCACTAGCACTCTACTCTTCAACCAATATAGCACTCCTACTCTTCAACCAATATGAAACTAAATATCATTATCAATACTCCTAGAAGTCAAAGACTCATGAACCTCCTTCTAACACCATTTTAATAAGAATTATTCATTTTGAATATGCTTACATGATTTTATCCTTTTAGAACTTTTAAACCCCTAAAAACATCTTTGAGGATAAAGATAATGACAAGACTTCAAGTCATGCTGCATTTTGGACAATACAGATGATGAGCTGCTCCGATACCTTGGTTAGTTGGCTTAAAATTTAGCTGGACTGACCTATATTAGCTTGATTGACGTTAATTACATCACAGACTAAGAATAACATAAACTAAAGACAGATTATAAAAGATATAAAGCAAACACCATATAAAAAAATTTAAAATAATGACAAGCATTTCAGAATTTTTATATCCATCTTGATGGTTTCAGCTGTACCTGTTTTTAATGACAAGGAACCTTTACCGATGACTCTCTGTGGGACAGGGCTGTTGGCCAGCACTATGGAGAGTTGTAGACACCTCAACTGACCCATTGTTTACCTTCATATTTATGCCTGAAGGCTCAATAATTGCTTGTCAACTAGAGATTGCATTTACTTAACGTAATGCATAGATGATGGGCTAAAAACTAGCCAGCTGATGAGAAAATAGACAAAAAAAGGAAGACGTTGAGGAGATACCAGACAATGTGGAACAAACTTCTTTTTTGGTGAACGAGTTAGGATCAACCTGACGAATGATGGAGTACAATTTCATTCCCTTAAAAAAATACCTCAGTGGAACATACTAGCAAAAGATGTGAAGATTGGTTGCTACCATGTTGTAGAATATACACATGCATCTCGGTGTATAATATCACGTCCCCTTTGTTCAGTAGATGCTACAACAAATGTGGGTCAACAGTCAGAAATAGAGCAAGAACGAACCCATCACATAACTGAAAGCAGATACATTGGATTTTAGCACATGATACCTTCGTCTTCTAACTGTTTGTATGTACAAATATCGGTTCAAGGTTTACGACTTTACAACAAAATTTTGCAGATAGCAAGCAATCACCTAGAATTACCTGGTTTGTAAAAACTCCTTACTTCGTGCCACAAACAAAGCAATGTATCGGATGCATCTTCATTCCAACCACTGATGCTGAGTTTTGAAATATCCAGCAGTGTCTTCAGCCATTCTTCATGCAGAGTGGAAAACTGGGATCTTCCTTCACTTGACTTGAAATTCTGACTAATCGTCAGCTTCATTTTTTGACTGGCACAGCCAGCAGCTTGCACAACTGGTCTGGGAAGGCCTGCCATTAAAGCTACTTGTAGCCCATAACTCTCAGGGCAAGCTCCAGCAGCAAGTTTGTAGAGAAAGATAAGGTCTTGGTCCCCGTTGTAAGAGATCCCATCTTTTGGCCTAAAAGCACAGGCCATGTGTTGCAGACTCACACGAGGATGAGATGCAAATTCTTTAGTAAGTGGATGGTAATGGGTGGCAAAGAGCAATCGACAGCAAACCTTTTCCACAAGATGGCGAAATACCTGTTGAGGTAACACAGTTAAAATGTGTCATATCAAGGACACCGATAAAAACACAGAAATCTATAAATGGAATAGCACACTCGAGGATGTCG